TTTTTTTTTTTCAAATTATTCGGTCTCTAAAATATCAAATGTTTTTATTTTATTTTTACAAAAATTCTAAATTCTCGAAATCTATTGGCATGTGAACCCTTTTTTTCATACAAAAGAGGCGATTGCCAATCAATGTTCCATATCAATTTTGATTAACCTTTTTTTGTCAGCGAAGATTGAATTCCAGTGTTTAACTAACTTGTAACTCCTTCATTACGTATTGACTTGTTGCATTTTTTAGCCAAATTCATTAGAGTTTTGTTGTAATTTTAAAACTTCATAATTCAATCCTATGGTACAAAAATGTTTCACTACACATTAGGGCTGTTCAGGATCTTATGAATTTGCATATTTCGGTACATTTATAAATTTCGCTACAATAAAATGCAAACCGCTGCCCCCACCTACATATTTTACTCAGTTTGAATATTTGGTCTGTTGATTCAACATGTGTTTGAAAAGCATCAAGTTGTTTTGGTTTACATTTATGAAATATTGGATTGCGATCCATTGAATTAAAAATAAAAACACGGGTAAGATGTTTTTTATTTGCACTAAAAAAATAAAAATAAAATAATAATAATTCGGCTTGAAATGTGCATATGGAAGAAATATGTTCCAAAGGGTGGAATTAACAACTTTTTTTGGCAGCAATGTACGGTTAAAGTAAAAATCCCGGGATTATTTGCCAGAATACCGGTATTTTCGGGATTCGTGATTTCCACTGGCGGCAATAATATAAACTCTTTATGTTGACTACTAGTTCTTTTATTTATTTAATACCGTGCGACAGTAAATTTATACACAAACAAATATTCGCGAAACCACGGGCCAAATGTCAGGATTTTTTTAAAAGGACTTTGAAGTTCGAAAAACATGAGGAATTAAAAAAAAATGATTTAAAAAATTCAGTGCAATGTAGAAAAACAGTATGGGGATCAAATTAAAGAGAAAATTTTGTATACTTAAAACCGATAAATTTTTTTGGTGCATAAGAACGCGTAGGTATTGAAAATATCCTTTTCGAATTTTATCCATGAATATTCCAGAAATTTATTTTGCAGAATGACGATACGCGGTTTTGTACTTCAAACGACGACATATAAAAATGAAATGTTTTTCGTATGACGGCGATACCCTGACCAAACGACTGAACCGATTTCAATTCTGTGAAAAGTACTTTCTTGGACCTTCTGTGTGGAAGGTTTTTCGATAAAAGAAATTCAAAACTTTATGCTGTTGTCGCCAAAAAATGAAGAAAGCTGAGATGTCCCAATTTCACAATTCCATAGAGTTTTCTGTATATTGTATGTCACTAAACTACTAAACGGCTGAACCGATTTGGTTCATATTTGGTACATACAAAACATTTTCTCGATAGGTGGCGCTGGGGTCAGGATATTCCTAAAAGTTGCATTTACTTGCCGATTTGGCTCATATTTATAACATACATATGTTAGCCAATTGAAAATAAATATTGGGGTCGGGATATTTCTAAAATTCTTATACACTGGGATAATGATGGATATCAACTATATATTTGTAGAAGTACATATGTTTATGTACATATGTATGTATGTATGCGCCAGGTTGCAGCCTAAAGGGATGTACAGAATCCAATGAAATTTTGGCAGAGTATCGTCATGACACCTGAAGAAAAAAATTGCGAATCGACAAGGGGGCGTGGCATCTCCCATAGGGGTGAAATTTTTTAGTACCTATATTTTCGGAACGATTTGTCACATGGACTTGAAATTTGGTATGCAGATATATCTGCGGTAGGTGCTTATAGTAGGCTATATATACATCAGTTTGTAAAATCGGGCGTGGCACATCCCATATTCGTGGAAATTTTATCAGCTATAACTTCGGAAGCATAACTCACAAGAATATGAACTTCGGTATGAAGACATATCCATGGTAGGTGCTTATAGTAAGGATGATTGTATACATGAGTTTGTAAAAGGGAATTTTTAATCAGCCATAAATTGGGAACCATAATTCACATCAACTTGAAATTTGGTATGCAGAGGTGTTTAGAGTAAAGTATATATAAATGAGTTTGTAAAAGGGGGATACATACATATGTATTTATCAATTACATCACTCGGATATTTAAAACTAAATTTAAAACTGTGTCTTTAGACCATTTCGAAATGGAAAGATTAAATCGCTTTTTGGATCCCGCGATGCAGTTAAACGAAAGATGTTCATTCATAATGAATAAATCTCCTTCCAAAATAAACATTCTACCGGAAAAGTGCAGCTATACTAAAACAGCTATGCGAATAGGCAGCGTAGTAGACTAATTTTAACTTAAAAATTGTATCGTTACCTTAATCCAACTAATATTAATAATGAAACCAGATTTTTAGTACAGAAAATTATGGCAAATATATACGTAGTAGTTGAAGCACGATAAAGCTAAGAATATGGTTCACAAGGATGGCTTAATTTAAACAGAAAGAAAATAGTTTGTCTCCTTTAATTTATGCTGAACTGAATATTTGTACTACTGTTTTATATTTAGATTTCTTTACGCCGAACGACGTCGGGTACTCTGCTAGTTCTCTATAAAAACATGTTCCAAAAAAATTGGAGTTTTTCAAGAACTATTTTTAAAATACTTTTTTTTATGACGCAGTCGCAGGGAAATGCTTGGTATAATTTTTATGGTTAAATTACTGACAGGCTCAATTTCAAGTCCGTCTCTTCTGGCTGATGTAAGCTTTAATGTTCCGTCACGCGTATCCAGACACTTTTGTCCCATATTTCTGAAAGCTTGTAAAACCAATTTTGAATTGCACGGCCCACTCCGTTGCTTATGCCAGGATTTTAACTCTCATTCCAGCACGTTTGATATATCAGATCCGCTTTTCAGCATTAAGAAAGCGATACTCTCCTCTCTCAATAAGTGAATTATTGACATAAATACATAAAATCAGCTGATGAATTTAGTTCTGTAGCTGAACAGTTTTAGATCTCGACACTTAACAAACTCCTGCCTATCGTGACTCGGCGCAAAAATTTAAAATATTGGTTCCGTACGTCATGCGGACTGCGCCCCTCGTGCGGATGGGCGGGAATGGAGGGTAAAAACCGTTGGGATATTATTATTATTATGATACTTATTTTGTAAAAGTCAACAATAAAGTCTCTACGATGAAGAAGATTGAAGAAGTACATGATTAGTCAGAATCACGAAGAAATCCAAAATTTTACTGATCATATATCCGAAGAAAAAAGGAAAAATGTAAAGCCACTCGAAATTGTGACACCAAATTTGGTGTCCCAAATGAAAAAGAATGCCTCATACATATACATATTTGTTATATATATTATAACATAGAATAATAGTAGTGTTAGTACATATTGTAATATATTATTTGATTATTTGTAGGGTTGCATTTCATATTTCTTTTATGCCATTAGTGTCTGAATTTCGTTTTATTTTAATTTGGTCGTAAATGAAATTATACCCCGGGATTTCGGTATCCCGAGTCCCTGTACTAGATGCCTTTTTTTAAACCAATGGGCAGTCATTATTACCTGATATCAAAGGATGCGAGATTGTAATCGAGCAAATACCGGAGGCACTAACAATTGCTAATTGTCAACCGTCTACTTTTGGATATGATCCTAGTATAACTAGTAAATAAGAGTTCCAAAAAATCTTAACTTACAAGCAGCAGCACTTTCAAAAGCATTGAAAGTGTTGGACGTCAATCTTCAACATATTTGATTATTATGTCCCCTTGAATCTATCTGCCTTTAATATAAATATAATAATAATAATTACTATCTGCCTTTATCTATCCGCAAATTTAACGTTGCTCGAGGAAGTATTAACTCTAATAGAAATTCCTACTACTTACTGTCTTACCATATTCGGTTACCACGCGAGCAGAGCCGCGGGTTCAGGCTAGTACAAAATATGTAAATAAAAATGTTTTCAATACGATTTGATATATTTTGTTCAGTCGAAGTCTAAAAGAGAGAATTTTCATCGAAATGAGATGTCACTTTGCGCTCTCAATTTCCCTTACTTTTGGATTTTTGTGTACGCGAACAGCAACTCTTAGTTTTTGATAGTTATCAAAAATTCCGCTATACGACAAAATCAACTTTTTTTTCTAGGTATTGGGACCAAGCTAATTTTTTCAAGAGATAGATTCGTAAGTAAAAAAGTAATTTTTCGAATTTAGCTTCTGAAATCGAAATATGGGCCTTCGAAGTTCGAAATTTGACCTCTGGTAAAAAAAATATTTTTGAACCAAAATATTGTAAACAACTAAAAAAGTAAAAATATAGACGTGGTCCAGCTTTTGCTCTTATTTAAACGGCATATAATTTTTTTCCTGCAAACTTGTATTACAGGTGCTATAAGGGGTCAAAGGTCAGAT